GTGTGTGGGCAGGTGTGGTACAGCAGTATAGTGGGGGCCCACTAGTTGGAACTGCCACTATTGGGTGTGTGTGATGCCCGAAATGCCACTATTGAGGGCCCCGTCCTCAATAGTGGCAAAGTGCCACTATATCGGGTTGAGATTTTGCCAGGAGATTTTCATGCCACTATATCGGGCACTTTACTATTCAGGTTGCCACTATATCGGGCCACCTACTTTAGTGGTGTTCCGGGATAAATATATATATATTTTTTCTACAATGGCTCGCCGCAGCCAAACTATACTTCCTCTGTATCATAAGTCTGGTCTGTTAGGTTTAGACGCCGCCTTAACGGTGTCCGATCTGTTTTTCGTTTGTTTTTTTTAATTTTACGGCGTTTTGTTCGCAAGAAAACATTTTTGGGGGGCGTATCCATCGTTTTCATAGTGTGTCGGGGGTGGTAATCACGACTGATCTCACGATTTCTAAAAAAAATCTCAAAACAGGCCAAAATGGGCATATTTTGACCTAATTTTAGTGAATAAATTTAACACGGTCTTGATTTTTCTTTTTTTTTAGTCAGCTTTGCATACGTCGTGCCTTTCTAACGCACCCAGCCAAAGGCTAAACGTCAACGTGTAAGTATCTTTACTACTACACGCACATAACAGACCAGACTTATGATACAGAGGAAGTATCTTGGTTTCCATGATTGACGACGGGGACTCGTTGCAAGTGCTGCTGTACTTTCGCGAATGTGGGTGGCGACAGATCAGTTCATACTCCGTCAAATGCGTAGAGCAACGGCTGTTGCAAGCGTGGAGAGTAAAAGCGCCACACTGCGTAACGTAGACCGTCTTTTATTGTCACATATTGGTAGAGAAATCATCGTCACGTTCATGGTAGATATTTTTTGTCACCGTGACCTAGACCTATGCTCAATCGCCCAACAATTTTGCACGGAACTTCAGCAAGCCCGTGCTACTGCGTTCGAAACTTTCCCTCCATGTTTGTGGGTAGAGAGTAGGTGAGCTAGCCCACAGGTCGGAAGTAGTGGTCAGGTTGCCACATCATTCTCTTGGCGAGAGGAGTGCTCGTTTTCGTTGTGCCTTTTTTCTCTCTCTCCGGCCCCGATCTTTAGCTTTCTATCTCTTTCTCTCT